TTAGTACCGCCGAAAATGCGCGTTCACGAAGGCAGATAAGAATAGCTTCTAATACATTTATATACTTTAGACTGTCCATGCGACCCTCGCAAACGAACATTTCGCCGACACCATCAGCAGCCATGAAGCCCCAGATCATAATGCTCTCTCCTCCATGCTTAACAGTGGGTATCACGCAATCTGGTTGATATTATTCCCCAACCTGCCCCGACGCCTCACGAACGTCACACCAGTTGTTCCAAATATCTGTAGAAAATAAGAAATAATGCTTTCATAAGACTCGTATTATGTCTTCGAAATTGATCTAGAGTAAGAAGCTATGGCCGTTAATACTTTAAGACGATCTTAACTAAGCTTACAACGTAGTATGATTCATCAGACCACAGAACATTCGACCAATCTTCTTGCGTGAAATGTTAGTATCGGCGAGGCCCTTCCAAATGATTTTTCCTATTCTTTTCAGAGAGCCACGGCTTCTTTCCTTTTAAACCTGCTTCCAGAAGTCTTCTTCTAGCTGTTTGAGCACTAACTGGTTTATTAAATTCATCCGAAAGAGCAGCTGCATGTGCAGAAGAAGATTTTTTGCGATCCTTGAGAGACTCGCGTATAAGTATTTGGTCTTCTCGTTTACCGGTTAGACGCTTTCTTCCACTTTTTGATTTATTATTATGGGATTTCGTCTCCACACATCGCCTGATAGCACATTGGACCGCGCACCGCGAACATCCCACCAAATTGGCATTCTCAACCTGAGACTTACCTTGTTCACTTGGAACTTGATAGAATTAGATAGAATTAGATCGTAACTTATTTCACTTTTTTCAGGCATTTCGGTAAAAATGGTATTTGTTGTGGTATTGCACATTTATGGTTTCCATGCAATCCGTGCACCATGCTTAGGTTATGCCGGGTAAAGAAAATACCCCCATAATGAGATTTTCCATTAAAACACTTCTTTTCCATTTCTTCAAATAAGTTCGTCTCGAGTCAACTTCTCGTGAAAGGAGTTTTACAACACCAAACTCAAATCTACCACACACAAAAAATTTCATTAAAACCTGTTCAACTGTTTGGAGTGTCTGAGGTGAACTAGTTAGCAACTGGTATAAAATAACCAGTATTTTAACTGGTATATATGAACAGTTGACAGTACGTAGGTTAAAAATACCAGTTGCGTACATCTAAAATAGGTGGTAGCTGAATTAGTTGGTGTGAGAATGTAAACTAGTTGGATGCTAGTTAGCATTTTGCCCTGCAGGGTATATATTGTACTAATACGAGTACATGCCACGACAGCTCAAACGTCCATTCATTAATAATTTGTTTTCATTTCTGATTTCTGGGTAAATTGTTAACAAATTTGCAAATATATAGATTTGTTTATACAGTTACAGTTATTTCTTCACCTACATAAGTATATAAGTGCATACGCTTGCCTAAATATTTACCACAAAAACCGAGAGAGAATGGCCAAGCCGTAACCATTTGATCGAATTTATTACCAACCACAAATTTGCGCAAATATCGGTTTAGTAAAATGAGTGAAAAGTGTTTTCGAATTCTTTGTTAATTTGTTTATTATTACAATTATTACATATTTTAGAAACTAGATCTGTACATTTCAATAGTAGGTTTTTTCTTTAATCACTTCCATTAGAGGGAATATCACTGGAAGAGTCTTTCGTTTTATCGATAAAATGCAACGCAGCTGTGATCTCTGGGCTCCCGGTATTTGTACGGCAGATAACCTCGGGAGAGAAGGAATCCTTCTACCCACAATAAACCCTTCCCACCATGCAGGTATTCGTCAAAGTATATACCTGGGCTATCACTCCAATGATGTTTGCCACCGCAAGAGGAAGAGTCTTTGTCACTCTGAAGCCTTGTCATCTGTGCGCCACAAGTTTCTCTGGATACATCTTATGAACTCTCTCGTTGAGCTAGCTTCAGCAAAAACTGATGATCGCGTTGTTTCTATAAGACGCACGGAATGGTTCGAATATTTGATAAATGGATCTATGGTGTCGTGGGTGAAAGGCGAAATTTGTTTTCACTTTTATAACACCAACAACACCACTAATGAAATTACAACTGAAATATTAAGAGCATTTAATTGTGTGCTCAGATAACAGTAGTCATACACAAATTCTGTAATCTCTTACGTCCTTCTCTGCTCTGAGGATGTCGCAGTGAATGAGAGTTTCAGGTGATGAAAAGTTGTTGAAAAAAGAAGAGGAGAAATATTCTAGAGCAATTCGCGAAAGTCTGAAACGTTTCCCACCAGGTTAAGATAGATTCCACTGACTACCGATCAAAGATGCCAAAACTTCCCGATCACTAGGCTTCACTATCCAAATATTCGATTTTCATATGAAACAATTTAAAACGTACATCGTCGGTCTGGAAAAAGGGCGCGAGTTGTTTTATCCGGTCTTTCACACTGTACCATTCGATTGACAGAACGAAACGGCAAGTGAACCGCCATCAAACAACTGAATGGCGTATAATTTCACCAGTAACAAAATTCGAGAGCTTATCGGGTTTGATTAAGCATGTGGAAGCTAAGGCGAACCCGAAATGTAGAAACAGCATAATTATATCGGGGTAACTTGCCAAGAATCGCTCCCGCCTTTCACGTACCACCTGAACCCAGCAGCGCAATAGCATGGCCTCTGTAAAATGAACAACACCACCGCCACATAGATATTTGAGAGCCTCAAACAAACTCCAACCTACATGCGAACTATGCAGGTGACTACAGACCTGTTAAAAGTCTTTGATATGGTCACTCCTGACCGTGCTACTATCAGACATTGAGGTGGAACATGAATTATCAGGGTGAACATTCGTAGGTAGAATTTTGTGGCCGCTCAGAAATATTATCAAGGGGTTCAGACTCTCTCCTTACTATGGTGTAATTACCTTTCTTCGAAACCATCTCCAAAGAGCGTTTCCTTTATCTTATAAGTCTTCTCTGAATTGGCGACAGGACATTTGTAGCGCTTGTTCGAAAATGAACTGCAATCACTCTGAGACTTTTTCTTCTTCTCTGTACGACATCTACTACTACAAACCAGTGAAATTTGCGCCGAAACTATTCTACAGCTAGACAAAGATGAGCCAGCTCGAAGTGAATGTATAAGTCGTGACCTTAAAATTTCAACAATAAAAAGCCCAATGTTATTGGGAGTGCAATATGATAGCCCACAATCTTTCACTTCAAGTATAAATAAGTGTATGCGTCTAGGTGAGGAATATTTTATTATTCTTTTTAAACGGTCGAATTGGGCTCTATGCAAGGTACTGAACCGCTTGAAGGATCTAGTTATCGATGCTATAAAAGAATCTATTAACTCTCTCTTTATCTTTTTCTCTCTCTCTATCCCGCTAAACACTAACCACATCATTGCAGCCCCACTAAAACCAACATCGAACAACCCTCCGAACCAGTCTAAATAGTTTATTTCTTGGAACTTCTATTATTTTGCCTCGACTACATCGACTAACTCTGCCTGCTTTTAAGTGATTTTAAGCCAGGCGCTACAACATCAATAGCAACTCATGCTTAGTCTTTAGATATATTTGATCTTAGTAGATACCAAGAGAGGATTAATAGACCTGTTTCTCAATAGCTCAATTCTAGCTCATCTTCTACGGATAACTCCGAATAGATTTGGTTGTAAGCTTTTCTCTCTCTCCCTCCCTCTCCCTATCTCTCTCTTCCCTTCTCTCTCTCTTTCTTCCCCTCTCTCTCTCTCTCTCTACGTCTCTCTCTCTCTATCCCTTTTTCTCCCCTCTCTCCTCCTCTCTCCCACTCACTCTCTATCTCTCTTTCCCTCTGTCTCTTTCTACCTCTCTTTCCCTCTGTCTCTCTCTCTCTCCCACACTGTCTCTCTCTCTCTCCCCCTCTCTGTCTCTCTCTCTCCGTCTCTCTCTTTCTCTCTCTCTTCTCCTCTTTCTCTCTCTCTTTCTCCTTTCTCTCTTTTTCTCTCTCTTGTTCTCTCTCTTTTCTCTCTCTCTATTTCTCTTTCTCTCTCTTTTTCTCCTTTTTTCTCTCTCTATTTCTCTTTCTCTCTCTTTTTCTCCTTTTTTCTCTCTCCATTTCTCTTTCTCTCTCTCTTTATCCCTCTCTCTCTGTCTCTCTCTCTCTTTCTCTCTCTCTCTCTCCTTCTCTCTCTTCCCTCTCTGTCTCTATCTCTCCCTCTCTGTGCCACACTCCATCTCTGTGCCTCCTTCCCTTCCTGTACCTCCTTCCCTCTCTATCACTCCCTGTTTTCCTCTACCTCTTTTCCTACTCTCTCCATCCATTTCATTCATAGTACTTTGCAATCACATATTTGAATGGTGTTTAACTGCCAAATAAATTTAAATATTATATGATTATCCACAAATCCAAACACACACTCTTTGGTCAATATCAAGTGGGGCAAAAATTAAAATGCAAATTAGTTTCGAACCGAAGCAGTGGGATTTATACACTTCTAGCCGTTGACTATGCGGGGCGACTTTACGCACTGACAAATCTACGCTCGCTGACGACTGAACTTGAGGGAGCGTTTTAGTTTTCTTTCCTACAAACATACATGCATATAAAGACGAATGTACTTCAGTAGCAAAATGTGGAGACAATTTATGGGTAAATAGGGAACAGCTACACTAAATAATTTAAATGCAATTACATTACTCCCTTGAATAATTGACTGGTCTTGAGCTACACCGCTGTGATAAGAAATAAATGTACAAAATAAATAAGTAAAATGAGCTTAAATGATTAAATTGGTTTTGGAGAGCTTTTTACCAGTGTGAATGAGAGCTTTAGGAGTGTTTGGGTGGGTTTTTGGGTGAGAAATCAACTTATTGCCTTCTTTACAATATTGTTTATTGTATAATATATTGCGTAAAAAGTTTTCACATAATAATCGTATAAAAAGTATTTTTGCTAATAAATAAATTGCGTGACTTAAGTTTTACAAATTTTGCCATTACTAAATTATTTGTGCTTAAAATTGGTAAAAAAAAGTGCGCTTAAAACAATTTAATCGTTGAAGAAGAAGTTGCAACGGAGAAGCTAAAAAAATTAATTCAAAAATAATTAATTCCACAGCTTCTTCCCGTAGCCCCTCTTCCCCATTATTTTTGGCTCTGCTGAAGTTTATCACACTCCGTTCGCTCCAATCTCCACCACCACCACTTCACTTCAATGGCGGCACCATACTGTCGAAACTGCCCAAAATATTGCCCGGCGGATTGTAATTGCAAACGACGTACGTGGTGTCACCTCTGTAAGCGAAAGAGAAGTTTAATTTTAATTAATATAAACTGAGTAAATTAAGCATAAGGGCACTACTCACTTTGTCGCAATGCCCACGCCGAGTTGTCGACTCTCACGCCAAACAATTTGTGTGAAATGTCCTGTGCCGGGTTTGTAGGATCCTTTGGAGAAGTCATAATAACGTATCTCATCGTACCAACTCTGCACCACTTTAGCGGCTGTGACCTCCATACCACGTGCTGTGTACAAGTTCTCGCCATAAGTGTGAACTTGACGATGTTCGAGGCGGCCGGTGGCGGCGAGATGCTGAAGAAAGGAGAGAATCTATACTAAAAGTTTGTTTTTAGAATTCAGTCAATGTAGAGATTTAGTTTTAAGAGGTCTTCTATAGTAAGAATAAATTTTGGATGCGGCTAAAAGCAAGCACCAAATTGGCAACGCAGTGAAAAGCTTTGCAGCGGAGTCAATTGTAAGATTGGCGGATTTGGTTGGATACTCTACAAGAACTTTCGGGCGTTGCTCGATAAGTAAGGGCCTATTGGATATGCTAGATCTGGAAAAGTAGCTTTCGAGTATCACTAAAAGAGGATAAATGACGCTTTAGCATGCGTCAACCGCGTAACTTGCAACATCTACACAGACGCTTCAAAAATGGACGACGAAATGGGCGCCGGTTTATATTGGGCAGCACTAATGGGTGATCCAAGTAAAGGTACTTTTTCAATGACACTTTACGTTGAGATCTTGAATTTAAAGCATATATTTTACAACTTGTGCCAGAACTAAAGCCGCTCAACCTTTCCCAGTGACATCGCTTCGCGCTATAGTCTCTTGAAAAATTCCAAGAAGATCCGACGTTGTCGAGCCAAATTTTATTCAGCTGTGAAAAAACTCCAGTGGCTTTGTGAGGTTTGGGGAACCGTTCGAATCATCGGTCCATATGTCTAAAAAATGATGCCGGTGAGGACGTTACTATCAAGGCGACCGTTATAGCCTATTAAAGCTCGTGATCTTACGTCGCATCAAACCAATAGATTTATTGAGAGAAAACTTTGGGTGAGCAGATAATTTCATGCTTTTGGCCTGTCGATTGGCCACCTAGATCGCGTGATATGATATCGTTAGACTTTTTCTTGTGGACAGTCCTGCTTCACTTCAGGCTTTGGAGCGAAAAATCACGCGTGTCATTCGCGAGTCATCGAAAATTAGACTCAACGGATGGATAATGTCCAAAAAATAAATGTCAAAGAATTTTCTTTGGAATGGATAATACATTTAATGGAGAATAAATTTTAACTTAGATCTCAAGCAAGCCTTCAAGCTTCGTGATTACTGTTGTATCTTCCGGGAGGCAGTATTTGTAGTTATTTGACAACACACGTCGATAGCCAAGTAGCAATTAAGGTCATAATCTTACATCGTATAACGTCAGAAAATGTCCTTAGAAGCAGGGAGGCGGTAGATGTGGCTGCTGCAGAAAAGCGCTTGCATATATTCTGGGTTCCAGGCCGCAGATTTTTTGCTCACGCGATCTCGAAAAGATTGTCTGAGGGAACTTTTTTCATCCAAAGAGAGAAAACCTACTCACCTTCGCCCATTGTTGGGCATATTTGCTCAATTCATTGCTCAGCGTTAGCGGCGGACAGTTTCGATGACGAGCCCGTAGTCGGTTATGAGTTTCTAAGCATTCGTGATGGAAATCTGGTTGGGGATCTGATGGAGCACCACAACTGCAAAGAAATTGACAATTTGAGAAAAAGTTTAAGAGTAAAAATTTTTAAGCGCTTGAAATCCCTTAAAACGACCGGCAGATCATATCTTTTGCTTGCTGAAACTATTTCGCTTTACCATACCTGGTCGTGGCTCTCTCATCATAGTATGTCTGCCTTTCCGGCTGTGATGCTTGCGCTTGCTGCAAGGGCGCTAAGGAGCTTTCATTCATGCGGTTTGTTTTGTCAGCATAAAATGAATCCCTGTGCATGTGGCTGTAGTTGGTTTCAGGGCGTTCTATAGCAGTTATATCAAGCGTGCGGGTATCATTCAACACCCTCCTACATGAACCACTGGCATCGCACTCAATTCTTGTACTCTGTGGTAGAGCAGAGAAAGCTGTGCTGTTGGATCTCGGCGGTACTCTGGAGTTGCTGGTACATGATGGATCGGTCGTAGTACAAGAGGTATGTTTCGGTGCTGCTACAGATGTCGAGCATTCATTCGGTGCAACATACGTTCTTGTGGCAGCTGCTGCTGGACCGGCGGCATAAGCAGCTAAAGTCTCATCTCGTTCACGGCAGGCTTTGCAATTGCACGTTTCAATCGGATTACGAGTTGGTGGTGGCGCTTGTTGGGCTGTTGTTGTTGGTAATAACTCCAGTGGTATTGACTGTGGTGGCCGCGTTAGTTGTGGAGCCGCTTTTGGTGTCGATTGTACGGGCATTGGTGGCAGCCGTGTTGACGTGCCGAAATCTTGCGGACACATTAGTGCGCCCGTACGTGCGTGTGTTGGTTGTGGTGGCCTTAGCGCTGGTGGTGTTGTGGAAGTAGCGCCAACCTCCTGCGGACACATTGACGCGTCCGTGAGTGTATGCATTGCGGGTGTTTGCTTGTGTTTACTCTGCGTTTGTGTTCGCGCCGAGGTTCGTTGCCTGACCTCATATTGACTGGGGCGATCTATATACGGCACACCGTGCACAACAATACGCGGCCCCACGCTGTGCTCACTGACAGTTCGGGAGGTGTTATACGATACTTCCTGCTGGCGCCCTGGTGGTCGATCGTACTCTCGGTATGCATAGCTGTTAGGTGAAGGGCTTCGATAACGATCGTCCCTGTTGGTACTACCGCCAACTCCCATAACCCTGAAGACACGCCAGTCTGATTTCTCTCCTTAACACGTTGCTAGATGTTTTAATTAAGCGATTACCGTTATTTACTCAGCGACGGCTTCTCAACGCTGTGCAAATGCAGCAGAAACTTCAACTATTTAATTTTGCTTGCGATGTTATTTTTTTCGTCTGTCTTTGACGGCAAGAATTTTGACTAAATAATTTTGTTTCCATTTTTTTTGTTTAATTTAAAAATTTTTTCTGACACAACGCAATGGAAATACGTCGAAATTTCTCCTACTTGAGCGTCGTCTAGTTATCGTTGTTGTTGCTTTTCTTGCAAATGACCACACGCGTCGCTATTAGATGGCACTTGGACGGACTGAGACAAACATTTGTATGTGAACGACACAAAGGTGGCGCATCATATTCATGTTGTTGTTCTCTTTGAGATCTCGCGACACTCTGATTTTGGCGTTGGCTGTGGCTCACACTTTCTCTATCTGTATCTCTATCTTTATCTCTTTCGCGTTCGCGGTCGCTGCGCGATGAACGCCGATGCTCCCTTGACACATATTGTTGCTGCGGATGCATTAATTCACAGTCGGGATTACAACACCCACACGACTCGCCAGCGGCATATTGGCGCGCAGAGGAAACTTCCCTACTCCCGTCGTGCCTCGCTCTATGATGTCTACCTCTGTCTAGCCGCTGACGTTGGCGACTTTGTTTACAACCCATAACGGCTCGGTAGATAATAGACAAACACCATTAGACCACCACTAAACTGCGGGCTCTCTCTCTGTCTCTTTCCTCTGCTCAGACACTTTTTTTTTTGACACTTCGTTTATAAACAATTTTGTTGTAATTTACATTTATTTATATGGAAAACATATTTTTTTAATAAAAAAACCAAACTTTTGTAATTTTCTTGTTCTGAAGTTTTGCAAAATGACTTTGAAGAAAGTAATAAAAAACAAGGCGCCGTTGAGTACACAGGGATGCAAAGAAGAAACTTTGAAAATCCGATTTATTTTAGATATATTTTCGAAATTCGTCTTCACAAAATCTTCGTATTCTTCGTCATTGCTGGCGTAGACACTGCTTACCCGCTTTTAGCTGAGAGTCCGCAAGAGCATCGCATTGGGTTTGCTCAGATACTCCTACTGGCCATGCCAACGAAATGGAGGTCTTGCTCTTCCTCTACTACCCTGAGCGGGTAAAACATTCCAAGCTGGAGTGTTTTCGTTCAGCCAGGTATCATGACCCAGGTTCCTTCAAATAAATAATGTTGTCTGCTTTGTTCTTTCGAACTCCAGCTCACCAGAAAGCCTGATCGGCATAGCCATAACCATTGAAAATAGCGTAGACTTTGGAATTTTAGCTAATATGAGGACCCTCGCATGGTATAGCGATAATGTTATCATTTTTGCTTGCTGTAAGTAAGCTCGTCAATGATCCGAGGCTACGCGAGCAGTTCTACGCAGCTGGGCACACGCAATGAGCTAACATCTATTGATATGGATTTTTATTGGTTGTTTCGTTTTATTTTGGAAAAATATGACCATATAATGGTTCCCACAGTGGTATTTTGGGTGTGCTCCATGGTTCTCCAATAAATTTCCTGTTCCAAAAACGAGGCAATTTTCCTTAGTAAAGCCGTGAGAGTGTGGAAAATGAGCTTCAACCTTCATTAAACTCCAGAAATCGAGCTCAATGAGTCCAACCGCCGTCGCGTGCAACAATCGGATCTGTACCAACAATCTGTACCAAACCACTTTGTTTAAGGATCTGAATTGGTGGGCTTACAAAATCCAACTCATGCAAGGGTTAAAGCCGAACGATCATCGAACACGTCGCACGATCGGTCAATGGGCCCAAAACGAGATGGCGGCCAAACCCGACTTTCACAAGAAAATTTTGTCCATTGTTGAGACTCTGTTACATCCATAAAAAGTCACTGTTTGGTGTGCTCCATGTGCAGATGGAATAATTTGTCCATACAACTTCAAAACACGGCCGTAATGTTACAGTCACAGTTACAGTGGGGAACACTTTAGAGACATGAATAATGACTTTTTCGTGCCTGAATTGAGGGATGTGGATGTGGACGATCTCTGGTTTCAATAAAACGGCGAAACATGCCTCACAGTCAACGAAACAATCAATTTATTGAAGGAAGCGTTGTAGGCTTGTGAAGTGTCTTCCAAGTTCGAACGATTTAACACCACTGCCCTATCTTCGGTAGAGTCGAGTGAAGTCGCTTGCCTACGCGGATAAGCCCGAGACGATCGATGGCTTGTGTGGGAGAATTCTGTGCGGTCTTGTTATCCTACGGCCAGAACTGCTGCAAAAAGTCGTCGAAAATTCGGCATTGGAATTTATTCTGCGCAGCCGCGGCGGTCACTTACCCGAAATCATTTTTAAAACGTAATGGCAAACTCAATCCTTATTAGTTAAGCCAAATTATTGGCCATATTTCTTCTTGACACCCACATTTCTAAGAAAACACCCTTAATGATAGCTTCACGTTTAATTCACAATTGATTTACTACTTCTTTAGTATTTACTCATGAAAGGAATTCAAAAATTTTCAAAAACTTACCAACACCAACGATACATATTTATTCCGAATAAATATTAAGACCGGCAGCCAAGAAGCACTTTACGCGTAACGAAACGTTAAACTGAACTGAATCGCAATGCAAAATACAACGGGTATGAAGTACACAAGCGGACTCATGGTACTTGTATGTGCGTATGTATATAATGAGAATTTACACATAATTTCGTCGAGATAAGGCGATATATAGTTCACTTTACTCAGATATGGATATATACATATATACAAAACATTTACTTATTTACTTGATTTGTAAAAATTATATTTTAATAAACTTATACGCTTTGAAATACATACATATACATATGTATACATATGAGTACATAAGTTAATACACATAATGATTTACAATAAATCTGTTTCTCAGTAAAGAATCGGCGCAATTAATAACTTAATTTAATGCTTATTTACTAGCTCATATATATATGTAAAATATATGTACAACTCGTTTCACTGGAGTAATAATTGAAATCCACCCGTTTCAGTGTGTCACCGTTAAATGTTTGCGCGTCACTCATGCTGATAAGCGCTACTGAAGTCTACTCCGGCACTCATAAGCGCCTATTATTATTTATTCATTTTATTTTTTTATTTAAAATATTTTTTAATATTTTTCTTTTCATTTTTTTGTTTTCCTTTTATAATTGCATTTGACATTGAAATTGAAAACGAAAACGCTTAACAGCACTCAATTGTTATTGTTTAACGGCAAGTGGCACTTGCATTCCACTTGATGATACACGTTTCGAGTTCAAATAATACAAAAAAAAAAACCAAGAAAAACAAAAAAACTGCTAATTTGTCATAGACCATTTTATTTTGTTTATAACAATTAAATATGCAAACAATGAAAACATTATTAAACACCAACCAAATATGAATATACGAATATATGGAGCGCGCCTATTTGGTTGGTTAGGTCGATAGGTGTGCTTGCTCGCGGAATCATACTAAATAAAAGATAAATGAAAGCCGAAATTTGCATATTTACTGATCACTTTTGTGAGGCATTGTTATCATTAATACCCATTTTTATTAATGTGTTCTATTTTATTTTATTTTATTTTATTTTATTTTATTTTATTTTATTTTATTTTATTTTATTTTATTTTATTTTATTTTATTTTATTTTATTTTATTTTTTTAAATACATTTTTTAAACATATTCTAGCCTACTGTATGATAAGAGTCACAATAAATATTTTATTTGTTTATTTCTATTTTTCATTTTTTACTTAGCAGTGATAAAGTGAGCCGGTATGTATACCTACAAGTATACATACATACATTTCTGATATTATAAATAACAACTTCCTCACAATTTCAGTTCCGATGTCGCGTACCTTAGTTTATGACTCAGTGATAGTGAGCAATCGCGTTAATCATGAACATAATAGAAATAAGAAGATATACATACGTACATATGTATGCATATACATTTGTAGGTAAGTGCATGCACTAAGAATTCTATAGAGCAGGTAAGAAGGTGTGCTACATATAATAAATTGTTACAAGGGCATTACAATAACTACAGTGAAAAGAAAGAGAAAGCGATATAAATAATTAATTGATAATCACGGACGATGAATGAAGAAATTTTATGAGTAAAAAATAAATAAAATATGTGTAATTATACTACAATTGTATAAAATAAAACAGAAAACAATTTAAAAAAATATATGAGAATGATATTAAAATTAATTGAAAAAAAAAAAAAGAATTAAAAAACAAAGATTAAATTAAATTAAATTATTTAAGTCAGGAATTAAATACCATATTTTCAGGCTTTGCTGGCGAGTGGCCTAAACTTTTGACTTACTCTTGACATTATAAATGCAACGATAATTTAAATAAAATATTAACACGCAACGTTAACACGGATCGAGACAATAGCAACAACATGTCGTACGCTAAAACCCAGACCCCACTAGATTCAGACGATGACATTCTTTTTGCCTTCAATCGAGGGACTGAAAAAGAGAAACTAACGTTTTGGCCAAGGTACACAAAGTCCTTAATATGGATCCGTTCAAGTAAAATGATTGAGAAATAGTTAAAAAAAGAAGAAGAAAAATCATTTAACTACGCTAGGAAGAACCGGGGAGGAATATTTATGAACAGAAAAATAGCTGAACATCAGTCTACACGATGTCCCTTCGGATTAAGAGCTTATTAATGGACAAGAACAGATTGTCAGTCAAAAAAGTTTTCCTATAACAAACCGTACTTTACTTCTACTAAATTCAGCCAACATCTTTCAATTGAAAGTTCTAAGCGTAAAAAACCCATAAAGATTTACTGAATACTGCGCGAGGATACAGAAGGCAAACACATACTTGTACAGCCAAAGGACATCACTAGCCGTTGCGTTACCAATGGTAAGTTCCAGCGTGATAAATCAATGTGGAAAGGTCTCTAGCAGATCGACTCCACAAATCCATAATTTAGGTTACCGGCCGCTACAATATTTCGCTAACAAAAAAGCTGACGAGTTAACCAATACGTGCTCATCTGTTGTAGAATCCTGAGCGGAGTTATTATTCTGTTCGCCAGGAACGTTCAGGAAAAAGCTGCAATTAAA